CCCCCCCCCCCCCCCCGCACTTTGTGATGCCGGGTGGCGACCTCGCTGAGTCATCCCAGGGCATCGCCTCGGAGCGACCTCCTTCGTCGCCCACAGTGACCTACGAGGTGGCGACCGGGGGTCGCTCGACGAGGCTCTGCATTCCTCCTCCGCCCCAAAGTCTAGGGGACGTGCAGCTGGAGACCCTGATCACTCTGCCCGCAGAGGACCAAGCCCGCATTTCTGCCGGTTCTGAGGACGACCTTGACACCATTCCTTCTTTTCGCGTTCCTCACCTTCATGCTTTGGTGTAGGCCACGTTAGGGATTATTGAGGTGGTCGGTAGGAAACGGAGCCGGCAAGCTGCCTTATATGAGGCGATGAGGGCAGCGGAGGCCAAGCAGAAGGAGCTGCAAGAAGAGGTCGCCCGCCTCACAAGGGAGCTGGAGGAGAAAGAGGGTCGCTGTGCCGCGCTCGTTGCGGAGAAAGCTTCCCAGGAGGATCGCTGCATCGCTATTGAGGCGGACAAGGTCTCCCTGTCCTCAGAGGTAGAATCCGTCTCTGCTCACGTGGTCGAGCTGGAAAGGGAGAAGTTCGACCTGATCCAGCAACTAGAGATGGAGAGGAGCGACCGGGTCCGCCACGCAGAGGAAGCGGTAGAATCCTTTAAGTCCTCTCCTGATTTTACAATGGTCGCTCTGGAGCGGATGGATAAGCTCACAGCCGAATGGCTCAAAACTGAACTTGGGGCCCAATGGATGGTCAATGAGGGGACCAAGTCCTTCAATTGTGGACTCTTTTGCGCCCAACAAGTCTTCCGTGATAGGCTAGCTCAGCTCCCCAAAGGATTCTCTCTCCCCGACCTTGGCTTTCCCCCTCCCTGTCGCTTCTTGGCCGAGTTCGACCCCAGTCCTTACTTGGACGGAGGGAGCTCGAGCGCCTCTGAAGAAGAAGAAGAAGAAGAAGAAGAAGAAGAAGAAGATGGTCAAGGCAACCATAATCCGGGGGCTAGCTTAGCCACGTCCAAGGCGGGTGGAAACCCCAGCTCGAGCGTCTAACCTCCCTTGTTGTCCTCTTTCAACTTTGTTAAACACTTATAAATTTTTTTTTCTTTTTTTTGGAATGATTTGTCGTTTTGATACAATGCTCCCATGTTATTTGACTTGCTGGATTTACCATGTGCCTCCCTTTTTCGGCGTTTTACTTCAGCACTCTCTTCTTTAGTTTAGCTGGCTAACATGGACGTTTTTGTTTGGGCCCAACTTCTAATCCCGGCCCGATTACCTGACCAGGCCTAATCTCAGGATTGGCCAGCGTGCCACCCAACTGACCCAATGCCCCTTGCAGTCTCTGATTGGACCTTCGCGCGGCTCAAAGCTAATTTATCAGTCCAGCTGCCTTGGGACTTGAGCGTGTCTTCGGTTTCTTCACCCGGGCTTATTTATAAGCCCCCCTAGCCTTCATTTTGTTCCATCACCAAATATCTTCCCTTTCTCCATTTTTGTCATGTCTGAAGGAATTCCTATTTCTCTGGACTTCTCCGACGGACCGGCTCCTTCTTCACCTGAGCCTGCCTCCTCCCCCAGGTCAGTCAACTCCAATGACTGGGGGGCTAGACCCTTACGAATTCTTCCGACGGTTGCCTCGCCGGCAATGGCCATCAGTGAAACCGCCGCCGATTCCCCCTAACCCTTATGAGGATTTCAGCGAGGCGTACAAGGCTCTCTCTGCCAACCGTCTGCCTGACGGGCGGATTGGCTGGGATGCCCCATGCCCCCTCCATTCACTGCAATGCATGGCCTGGGAGAGCTTTTATGATGAGCACTTACCCCTCTTAGAGCATGAGTGCGCATATTACTCGAGTCTGGAGCGATGGACTAACGAGAGTCGCACGAGTTCACCAGTGAGGCCTAAAGATGAGGCTGTGGTGAGGGAAGAACTAGGTTCTTCCCTACCCCGCCCTACTGGTTGCTCACCTCCCTGGAAGGCCCTTAGGCGATCTAGGGTAGCGCGAGCGGTTTCAGGGTCTGCATCCTCATCTAGGTGATGTCGATTGGGGCTCACAGAAAAGTGAGCTGCCTCCCGTCCTTCTCTGATAGGAGAAGGACACTGGGTTTTTGTCGAGGCTGGGGGCGACCACTCCTGTTCCATGATGGAGAAGAAAGGTGGTCGCTCTGGACGGCCGGTGATCGGAGTTTTGTCGGCCTATACAGCTGCAGAACTACCCATCAACCTTGCCTGTTTCCCCTGGATCCTTCATCCTTCCTGGCCCTCAGCTGCTCACCAAGTTCTAGATTTTTCTTTTTCCTTGTAAGAAATGTATGGGAAAATATCTCTTCTTTTTGAAGTACGTAGAGATTGTTCTCAACTGTATTGTAGTATATGCAAGAGATTATCCTTGAAATGTAATAAACATTTTCATAAATATACTTTGATGTTACCCGTTTACTCACAAGTTCCATCTTCTTCTCTTTCGCATCTCATTTTAAGCGTTCAGGTTTCCTCAGACCTTAATTAGAGAATACCTTGTCTCTTTTGACTTAGCCGTTTTTGGGTTATTTTAACCCTTGTGGCGTCGCCATACCTTCAAGGTCCCCTGGTCGCTCATGCGATCAACAGATCTTATGTTCCGGACTTGGCCGTTTTCTCAAGCTTTCTCGCCACGGCGTCGCCCTATAATTAATCGCGTCGCTTGACAGCCTTCAATCTTGGTCGCTTGACAGGGTTCGACTGTAACGCCACAAAATATGGCCTAAAATTTATTATAAAACAAAAGTAGTTTTTGTCCAATAAGGAATATTTATACGTTTGACCAAAAATAAATGGATTTTCAAAATAATGACTTTTTGTTAAAAACTTATTTTTATGGATATGTCCCGAAGAGACGATTCCAACGGTACATTTTATGAATCAATCTCATTTATAAATTGCAAACTATGACAATTTTAAATATTAAAAATTGTAACTTTGACTCATAAAATAAACTAAATTCAAAAGAGATTTCTTAAGATTAGAAATCTAAATCTTTGACAATTGACAACACCATATTCATCTTTTGAATTAAATTCATATATTTTTATATCATTTATATTATTGAATTAATTTATGACTGACACAGACCCGAACACTGAGAAAAATAAAAGTTCTCAGAAAAATATTTTGATTATGTCAAAATTCTAGTTTTGACAGTCTGTTTCCAAAAACACAATCCGTTTTCAATTCAGAACAATTTAGGCGAAAAAGTGTGTACCGTTTTAGCCAGTTTATCAGTTACGGAGTAGGAGAATATTTTAAAATCTTCAAAACTCCTTCAATCACGAGACCTTTTCTCCTTAGCTACCCCACTCCACTCCACTAACACTATAATCCAACCCTTCCTATATAATACTCCCACCTTTATTCCATTTTCTCCACCACATATTCATCATCAAACATCATCACCAATCATCCATCCATATCTCTCCTCTTCACCTCTCTCTCTCTGTCGGTCAGGCACCAAGGAAGGAAAAAGGAGATTCCAACTCCATGATTTCATGTTAAGGAAGAAGAAGGAGCAAGAAGAAAGTAGCTAAAGTTTCTAAAATCCTGAGTTCAAACACAGCAGCCCACTTCTAAGTAAAAACTGAAATTTTCCATACATTATCTCGAAATACTTTCTGAACCAAAGTTGTAGCCCCAGGCGGTACAAATCCAGCCCAACAAACGGCTCGTGATTTTGTTAAGTAACGAAGAAGATATGGCCAAAATACCGGGACTGCGCCAGTGGTGGCGAGCTCCTCGGGTTGGACCATTTTCTTCACCAAATTCATATTGTTTCATTCCAAGAACTTACCATAAACTCTCTAACACTTATTAGGAACATCCGGAAGGTATCATAGAGAAGGTTCGGCGTTAGAATATTGAAGTTAATGAGATAATCGTCGGAATCGTTGTTCGTTGGAACATCCAAAATCCTGGCAGCAACTATGAGTCCACTTGTGAGCTATATTTGACCACTTTAAACTCATTATTTTAACATGGTTTCTTCACGAAAGTTGTAGCCTTACGTCTTAGGAATCCACAGAATCAAACCGTTTGCGATTCCGTGAAGAAACGATGGAGATATGCTCAAAATACCGCAGGCTGTCCAATTGTGACGGGAATAACAAAGTTGGTGAATTTCGATGTTGTTTCCACTCCCGCTCATCCATAAGGTTTCGGCCGATGATTTCCAGGTCTCTACCCTTACGTTAGACTTGTCGAATCATTCATCATGTATGTACATGAACATATATATTAATCCATATGTTGAAATCATTCCAAAATATATATGTGATGCATATATAAGTCATCTATATGTTGAGATCAAAATACACCAAATTCATAAAGTTAATATACACATAAGTATATATAAACCTTGGAAATCAACCCAACAATATGTATATGTTAATCAAAGGTG